TGATGGGGATCACGGAATTGCTCTGCATGCACTGCAGGGGAATCGGGCCACATCTGTCATCTAGGGGGAAGTCTCATGGTTTTTCTCGAGTTGCGGCGGGGACCTTTGCTATGTTATCGATTTAAGGCGGGGATGGCCCTTCAAAACACCTGTTTATTCAGTGAGGTCGGGACTCCTGTCTAGTAATGAGGGACAACTCAGGAATCTCTTCGAGGCTTGGCAGGCAACAAGGAACACTTCTCGAGGTGAGGCAGGGCACCCAAGGACCCTTTCCAGTAGCCACAGGGATTTTGGGATTCCTATCAATATTCAAGAGGAGTCAGGCATCGTCACCTTTTGAAGCAGTCAACTCTGCGTGCCTCTCGAGGTGTCAACGGGATGTGAGGCATTCCGTCAAAAGGAGGCAGGTACCTAGGGCTTTCTCTAAGGTCTCCACAGGGGATTCAGACATCCCTTCATGTTGTGAGATGAAAGACGAGCCTGTATTCAAGCCACTGCAAGGAAAGCCCTTCTCCTTTCTAGTTAGGGCTTCTAGCTGTATATTCCACTTGAGGCAGCAAACTCGGGGTCCCTCTGACATACCTAATCCTGAGAGAAGCCTCCCCTTGAGGTGCTTCTGTAAAGTTGGCATACGTCTTGAGCTTAAGCCAGGGAATCAGCTCTCATCTCGAGACGATTTCGGGTACACGGAGCATTCCTCGAGTTGCTGTGATGACGTTAGTGTTCCTCTAGACTTGAGACAGTGTTCTCGGGGCATCTCTGGAGTTTCCTGAAGGAAGTCAAGCCACTGGACGTATTTAATGGGGAACGGGGGATGGCTCTGGAGTCCATGCAGGGGAATCGTGCTTCATCTCGAGTTGACTTGAGGCACATGGGGCTGCTTTGCGATGCTGGGTTGACCTCAGGGTTCGTCTAGACTTGTGACAGTGTTCTTCGGGACTGTGTCGAGATCCATTAAGCAAGTCAGAGCTTCTGACTTGTTTGATGGGGATCCCGGAATTGCTCTGCATGCACTGCAGGAGAATCGGGCCTCATCTCGCATCTAGGGGGAAGTCTCATGGTTTTTCTCGAGTTGCGGCGGGGACCTGGGGTATGTTCTCGAGTTAGGGCGGGGATGGCCCTTCAAAACACGTGTTTATTCAGTGACGTCAGGACTCCTGTCTAGTAAAGAGGGACACCTCAGGAATCTCTTCGAGGTTTGGCACGGCACAAGAGACGCCTCTCGGGGAGAGGCAGGGCACCCAAGGACCCCTTCAAGTAGCCACAGTGATTTTGGGATTAATATCAATATTCAAGAGGAGTCAGGCATCGTCACCTTTTGAAGCAGTGAACTCCGCGTGCCTGTGGAAGTGTCAACGGGATGTGAGGCTTTAGGTCAAAATGAGGCAGGGACCTCGGGCTTTCTCTAAGGACTCCACAGGGGATTCAGACATCCCTTCATGTTGTGAGATGAAAGACGAGCCTGTATTCAACTCAATGCAAGGAAACCCGGCCTCATTTCAAGTTAGGGCTTCTCGCTGTATATTCCACTTGAGGCAGCAAACTCGGGGTCCCTCCCACATACCTATTGCTGAGAGAAGCCTCCCCTTGAGGTGCTTCTGGAAAGTTGGCATACATCTTGAGCCTAAGCCAGGAAATCAGCTCTCATCTCGAGACGATTTGGGGTACACGGAGCATTCCTCGAGTTGCTGTGCTGAAGCTGGTCTTCCTATAGACTTGGGACAGTGATCCCAGGGCATCTCTGAAGTTTCCTGAAGGAAGTCAAGCCACTGGTCGTGTTTAATGGGGAATGGGGGTTGGCTCTGGAGTCAATGCAGGGGTATCAGGCCTCATCTCGAATTGATTTTGGGCACATGGAGCTGCTTTGCGTTCCTGGGGTGACCTCAGGGTACCTCTACACTTGTGACAGTGTTCTTGGTGACTCTCTCGAGATCTGTTAAGCAAGTCGAAGCTCCTGACTTGTTTGATGGCGATCATGGAATTGCTCTGCATGCACTGCAGGGGAATCGGGCCATACCTCACATCTAGGGAGAAGTCTCATGGTTTTTCTCGAGTTGCGGCGGGGATCTGGGGTATGTTCTCGAGTTACGGCGGGGAAGGCCCTTCAAAACACGTGTTTATTCAGTGACGTCAGGACTCCAGTCTATTAATGAGGGACACCTCAGGAATCTGTTCGAGGCTTGGCAGGCCACAAGGGACACTTATCGAGGTGAGTCAGGGCACCCAAAGACCCTTTCCATTAGCCACAGGGATTTTGGTATTCCTATCAATATTCAAGAGGAGTCAGGCATCGTCACCTTTTGAAGCAGTGAACTCCGCGTGCCTGTCGAAGTGTCAATGGGATATGAGGCATTCCGTCAAAAGGAGGCAGGTACCTAGGGCTTTCTCTAAGGTCTCCACAGGGGATTCAGACATCCCTTCATGTTGTGAGATGAAAGACGAGCCTGTATTCAAGCCACTGCAAAGAAACCCCGCCTCCTTTCTAGTTAGGGCTTCTAGCTGTATATTCCACTTGAGGCAGCAAACTCGGGGTCCCTACCACATACCTATTGCTTAAAGAATCCTCCCCTTGACGTGCTTCTGGAAAGTTGGCATACGTCTTGAGCCTATGCCAGGGAATCAGCTCTTATCTCGAGACGATTTAGGGTACTCGGAGCATTCCTCGAGTTCCTGTGCTGAAGTTGGTGTTCCTCTAGACTTGGGACAGTGTTCTCGGGGCATCTCTGGAGTTGCCTGAAGGAAGTCAAGCCACTGGTCGTGTTTAATGCGGAATGGCGGATGGCTCTGGAGTCAACGCAGGGGAATCGGGCCTCATCTCGAGTTGATTTGGGGCACATGGAGCTGCTTTGCGTTGCAGGGTTGACCTCAAGGTCCGTCTAGACTTGAGACAGTGTTCTTGGGGACTGTCTCGAGATCCATTAAGCAAGTCGAAGCTCCTGACTTCTTTGATGGGGATCACGGAATTGCTCTGCGTGCACTGTAGGGGAATCGGGCCTCATCTCACATCTAGGGGGAAGTCTCATGGTTTTCCTCGATTTGCAGCGGGGACCTGCAGTATGTTCTCGAGTTACGGTGGGGATTGCCCTTCAAAACTCGTATTTATTCAGTGACGTCACGACTCCTGTCTAGTAACGACGGACATCTCAGTAATCTCTTTGAATACTGGCAGGGCACGAGGGACACTTCTCGAGGTGACGCAGTGCACCCAAGGACCCTTTCCAGTAGCCACAGAGATTTTGGGATTTCTACCAATATTCACGATGAGTCAGGCTACGTTACCTTTTGAAGCAGTGAACTCCGCGTGCCTCTCGAGGTGTCAACGTGATGTGAGGCATTCCGTCATAATGAGGCAGGGACCTAGGCCTTTCTCTAAGGTCTGCACAGGGGATTGAGACATCCCTTCATGTGGGGAGATGCAAGACTTGCTGTATTCAAGCCACTGCAAGGAAACCCGGCCTCCTTTCAAGTTAGGGCTTCTCGCTGTATATCGCACTTGAGGCAGCAAACTCGGGGTCCCTACCACATACTTATTGCTTAAAGAAGCCTCCCCTTGACGTGCTTCAGGAAAGTTGGCATACATCTTGAGCCTAAGCCAGGGAATCAGCTCTCATCTTGAGACGATTGGGGTACATGGAGCATTCCTCGAGTTGCTGTGCTGAAATTGGTGTTCCTCTAGACTTGGAACAGTGTTTTCGGGGCATCTCTAGAGGTACCTGAAGGAAGTCAAGCCACTGGTCGTGTTGAATGTGGAACGGCGGATGGCTCTGGAGTCAATGCAGTGGAATCGGGCCTCACCTCGAGTTGATTTGTGGCACATGGAGCTACTTTGCGTTGCTGTGGTAACCTCAGGGTCCGTCTAGACTTGTGACAGTGTTCTTGGGAACTGTCTCGAGATCCATTAAGCAAGTCGAAGCTTCTGACTTGTTTGATGGGGATCACGGAATTGCTCTGCATGCCCTGCAGGTGAATCGGGCCTCGTCTCGCATCGAGGGGGAAGTCTCATGATTTTTCTCGAGTTGCGGCGGGGACCTGTGGTATGTTATCGAGTTATGGGGGGATGGCCCTTCAAAACACGTGTTTATTCAGTGACGTCAGAACTCCTATCTAGTAACGAGGGACACCTCAGGAATCGCTTCGAGGATGGCAGGCCACAAGGGACACTTTTCGAGGTAAGTCAGGCCACCCAAGGACCCTTTCCAGTAGCCACAGGGATTTTTGGATTCCTATCAATATTCAAGAGGAGTCAGGCATCGTCACCTTTGAAGCAGTGAACTCTGCGTGCCTCCCGAGGTGTCAACTTGATGTGAGGCATTCCGTCATAATGAGGCAGGGACCTAGGGCTATCTGTAAGGTCTCCGCAGGGGATTCAGACATCCCTTCATGTTGGGAGATGAAAGACGAGCCTGTATTCAAGCGACTGCAAGGAAACCCGGCCTCCTTTCAAGTTAGGGCTTCTCGCTGTATATCCCACTTGTGGCAGCAAACTCGGGGTCCCTACCACATACCTATTGCTTAAAGAAGCCTCCCCTTGAGGTGCTTCTGGAAAGTTGGCATACGTCTTGAGCCTAAACCAGGGAATCAGCTCTCATCTCGAGTCGATTTGGGGTACATGGAGCATTCCTCAAGTTGCTGTGCTGAAGATGGTGTTCCTCTAGACTTGGGACAGTGTTCTCGGGGCATCTCTGGAGTTGCCTAAAGGAAGTCAAGCCACTGGTCTTGTTTAATGAGGAATGGGGGAAGGCTCTGGGGTCAAGGCAGGGGAATCGGGCCTCATCTCCAGTTGATTTGTGGCACATGGAGCTGCTTTGCGTTGCAGGGGTGACCTCAGGGTCCGTCTAGACTTGTGACAGTGTTCTTGGGCACTCTCTCGAGATCCATTAAGCAAGTCGAAGCTCCGGACTTGATTGGTGGGGATCACGGAATTGCTCTGCGTGCACTGCAGGGGAATCGGACCTCATCTCACATCTAGGGGGAAGTCTCTTGTTTTTTTTCGATTTGAGGCGGGGACCTGCGGTATGTTCTCGAGTTACGGCGGGGATTGCCCTTCAAAACTCGTGTTTATTCAGTGACGTCAGGACTCCTGTCTAGTAATGAGGGACACCTCAGTAATCTCTTCGAGGACTGGCTGGGCACGAGGGACGCTTCTCGAGGTGAGCCAGTGTACCCAAGGACCTTTTCCAGGAGCCACAGAGATTTTGGGATTTCTACCAATATTCATGATGAGTCAGGCTATGTTACCTTTTGAAGCAGTGAACTCCACGTGCCTCTCGAGGTGTCAATGGAATGTGAGGCATTCCGTCATAATGAGGCAGGTACCTAGGGCTTTCTCTAAGGTCTCCCCAGGGGATTCAGACATCCCTTCATGTTGGGAGATGAAAGACGAGCTGTATTCAAGCCACTTCAAGGAAACCCGGCCTCCTTTCAAGTTAGGGCTTCTCGCTGTATATCCCACATGGGGCAGCAAACTCGGCGTCCCTACCACATAGCTTTTGCTTAAAGAAGCCTCCCCTTGAGGTGCTTCTGGAAAGTTGGCATACGTCTTTACCCAAAGCCACGGAATCAGCTCTCAACTCTAGATGATTTGGGGTACACGGAGCATTCCTCGAGTTGCTGTGCTGAAGTTGATGTTCCTCTAGTCTTGTTACAGTGTTCTCGGGGCATCTCTGGAGGTGCCTGAAGGAAGTCAAGCCACTGGTCGTGTTGAATGGGGAATGGCGGTTGGCTCTGGAGTCAATGCAGTGGAATCGGGCCTCACCTCGAGATGATTTGTGGCACATGGATCTACTTTGCGTTGCTGTGGTGACCTCAGGGTCCATCTAGACTTGTGACAGTGTTCTTGGGGACTCTCTCGAAATCCATTAAAGAATTCGAATCTCCAGACTTGTTTGATGGGGATCACGGAATTGCTCTGCATGCACTGCAGGGGAATCGAGCCTCATCTCGCATCTATGGGGAAGTCTCATGGTTTTTCTCGAGTTGCAGCGGGGATATGCGGTATGTTCTCGAGTTAGGGCGGGGATGGCCCTTCAAATCACATGTTTATTCAGTGACGTCAGGGCTCCTTTCTAGAAACGTGGGACAACTCAGGAATCTCTTCGAGGCTTGGCAGGGCACAAGGGACGCTTCTCGAGGTGAGGAAGGGCTCTCAAGGACCCTTTCCAATAGCCACAGGGATTTTTGGATTCCTATCAATATTCAAGAGGAGACAGGCATCATCACCTTTTGAAGCAGTGAACTCTGCGTGCCTCCCGAGGTGTCAACTTGATGTGAGGCATTCCGTCATAATGAGGCAGGGACCTAGGGCTATCTGTAAGTTCTCCACAGGGATTCAGACATCCCTTCATGTTGGGAGATGAAAGACGAGCCTGTATTCAAGCCACTGCAAGGAAACCCGGCCTCCTTTGAAGTTAGGGCTTCTCGCTGTATATCCCAGTTGAGGCAGCAAACTCGGGACCCGTACCACATATCTATTGCTTAAAGAAGCCTCCCCTTGAGGTGCGTCTGGAAAGTTGGCATACGTCTTGAGCCTAAGCCAGGGAATCAGTTCTCATCTCGAGACGATTTGGGGTACATGGAGCATTCCTCGAGTTGCTGTGCTGAAGATGGTGTTCCTCTAGACTTGGGACAGTGTTCTCGGGGCATCTCTGGAGTTGCCTGAAGGAAGTCAAGCCACTGGTCGTGTTTAATGGAAAACGGGGGAAGGCTCTGGGGTCAATGCAGTGGAATCGGGCCTCACCTCGACTTGATTTGTGGCACATGGAGCTACTTTGCGTTGCTGTGGTAAACTCAGGGTCCATCTAGACTTGTGACAGTGTTCTTGGGGACTCTCTCGAAATCCATTAAGGAATTCGAATCTCCAGACTTGTTTGATGGGGTTCATGGAATTGCTCTGCATGCACTGCAGGGGAATCGAGCCTCATCTCGCATCTCTGGGGAAGTCTCATGGTTTTTCTCGAGTTGCGGCGGGGATATGCGGTATGTTCTCGAGTGAGGGCGGGGATGGCCCTTCAAATCACATGTTTATTCAGTGACGTCAGGACTCCTTTCTAGTAACGTGGGATAACTCAGGAATCTCTTCGAGGCTTGGCAGGGCACAAGGGACTCTTCTCGAGGTGAGGAAGGGCTCCCAAGGACACTTTCCAGTAGCCACAGTGATTTTGGGATTCCTATCAATATTCAGGAGGAGTCAGGCATCGTCACCTTTTGAAGCAGTGAACTCTGCGTGCCTCCCGAGGTGTCAACTTGATGTGAGGCATTCCGTCATAATGAGGCAGTGACCTAGGGCTATCTGTAAGGTCTCCACAGGTGATTCAGACATCCCTTCATGTTGGGAGATGAAAGACGAGCCTGTATTCAAGCGACTGCAAGGAAACTCGGCCTCCTTTCAAGTTAGGGCTTCTCGCTGTATATCGCACTTGAGGCAGCAAACTCGGGGTCCCTACCACATACCTGTTGCTTAAAGAAGCCTCCCATTGAGGGGCTTCTGGAAAGTTGGCATACGTCTTGATCCTAAGCCAGGGAATCAGCTCTCATCTCGAGACGATTTGGGGTACATGGAGCATTCCTCGAGTTGCTGTGCTGAAGTTGGTGTTCCTCTAGACTTGGGACAGTGTTCTCGGGGCATCTCTGGAGTTGCCTGAAGGAAGTCAAGCCACTGGTCGTATTTAATGGGGAACGGCGGATGGCTCTGGAGTCAACGCAGGGGAATCGGGCCTCATCTCGAGTTGATTTGGGGCACATGGAGCTGCTTTGCGTTGCAGGGGTGAACTCAGGTTGCGTCTAGACTTGTGACAGTGTTCTTGGGGACTGTCTCGAGATCCATTAAGCAAGTCGAAGCTCCTGACTTGTTTGATGGGGATCACGGAATTGCTCTGCGTGCACTGCAGGGGAATCGGGCCTCATCTCACATCTAGGGGGAAGTCTCATGGTTTTCCTCGATTTGCAGCGGGGACCTGCAATATGTTCTCGAGTTACGGTGGGGATTGCCCTTCAAAACTCGTATTTATTCAGTGACGTCAGGACTCCTGTCTAGTAAAGAGGGACATCTCAGTAATCTCTTTGAGTACTGGCAGGGCACGAGGGACACTTCTCGAGGTGACGCAGTGCACCCAATGACCCTTTCCAGTAGCCACAGAGATTTTGGGATTTCTACCAATATTCACGATGAGTCAGGCTACGTTACCTTTTGAAGCAGTGAACTCCGCGTGCCTCTCGAGGTGTCAACGGGATCTGAGGCATTCCGTCATAATGAGGCAGGGACCTAGGGCTTACTCTAAGGTCTCCACAGGGGATTCAGACATCCCTTCATGTTGGGAGATGCAAGACGAGCAGTATTCAAGCCACTGCAAGGAAACGCCGCCTCCTTTAAGTTAGGGCTTCTCGCTGTATAATCCACTTGAGGCAGCAAACTCGGGGTCCCTACCACATACTTATTGCTTAAAGAAGCCTCCCCTTGAGGTGCTTCTGGAAAGTTGGCATACGTCTTGATCCTAAGCCAGGGAATCACCTCTCATCTCGAGACGATTTGGGGTACATGGAGCATTCCTCGAGTTGCTGTGCTGAAGTTGGTGTTCCTCTAGACTTGGGACAGTGTTCTCGGGGCATCTCTGGAGTTGCCTGAAGGAAGTCAAGCCACTGGTCATGTTTAATGGGGAACGGCGGATGGCTCTGGAGTCAACGCAGGGGAATCGGGCCTCATCTCGAGTTGATTTGGGGCACATGGAGCTAGTTTGCGTTGCTGTAGTAACCTCAGGATCCGTCTAGACTTGTGACAGTGTTCTTGGGGACTGTCTCGAGATCCATTAAGCAAGTCGAAGCTTCTGACTTGTTTGATGGGGATCACGAAATTGCTCTGCATGCCCTGCAGGGGAATCGGGCCTCATCTCACATCTAGGGGGAAGTCTCATGGTTTTCCTCGAGTTGCGGCGGGGACCTGTGGTATGTTATCGAGTTACAGGGGGATAGCCCTTCAAAACACCTGTTTATTCAGTGACGTAAGGACTCCTATCTAGTAACAAGGGACACTTCAGGAATCTCTTTGAGGCTTGGCAGGCCACAAGGGACACTTTTCGAGGTGAGTCAGGCCACCCCAGGACCCTTTCCAGTAGCCACATGGATTTTGGGATTCCTATCAATATTCAAGGGTATTCAGGCATCGTCACCTTTTGAAGCAGTGAACTCTGCGTGCCTCTCGAGGTGTCAACGGGATGTGAGGCTTTCCGTCAAATGAGGCAGGGACCTAGGGCTTTCTCTAAGGTCTCCACAGGGGATTCAGACATCCCTTCATGTTGTGAGATGAAAGACGAGCCTGTATTCAAGCCACTGCAAGGAAAGCCCTTCTCCTTTCTAGTTAGGGCTTCTAGCTGTATATTCCACTTGAGGCAGCAAACTCGGGGTCCCTCTGACATACCTAATCCTGAGAGAAGCCTCCCCTTGAGGTGCTTCTGTAAAGTTGGCATACGTCTTGTGCTTAAGCCAGGGAATCAGCTCTCATCTCGAGACGATTTCGGGTACACAGAGCATTCCTCGAGTTGCTGTGATGAAGTTAGTGTTCCTCTAGACTTGGGACAGTGTTCTCGGGGCATCTCTGGAGTTTCCTGAAGGAAGTCAAGCCACTGGACGTGTTTAATGGGGAACGGGGGATGGCTCTGGAGTCCATGTAGGGGAATCGGGCTTAATCTCGAGTTGACTTGAGGCACATGGGGCTGCTTTGCGATGCTGGGTTGACCTCAGGGTTCGTCTAGACTTGTGACAGTGTTCTTCGGGACTGTGTCGAGATCCATTAAGCAAGTCAGAGCTTCTGACTTGTTTGATGGGGATCCCGGAATTGCTCTGCATGCACTGCAGGAGAATCGGGCCTCATCTCGCATCTAGGGGGAAGTCTCATGGTTTTTCTCGAGTTGCGGCGGGGACCTGGGGTATGTTCTCGAGTTAGGGCGGGGATGGCCCTTCAAAACACGTGTTTATTCAGTGACGTCAGGACTCCTGTCTAGTAAAGAGGGACACCTCAGGAATCTCTTCGAGGTTTGGCATGGCACAAGAGACGCCTCTCGGGGAGAGGCAGGGCACCCAAGGACCCCTTCAAGTAGCCACAGTGATTTTGGGATTAATATCAATATTCAAGAGGAGTCAGGCATCGTCACCTTTTGAA